CCTCCTGCCTGCTGATGCTGCCCAGCTTGGTCCCCGGCCGTGGGAGATGCATCCTGGTGGGGCTGCGCCCGCTTCTCAGCTTGGTATGGCTGTTGGCTGCTGGGCAGAGCCGTGCTGGGGCAAGGGGGGTGCGAACAAAGCCACATGATGGGGTTTGGGGACCCTGCTCACATGAGGAGCCAGAGTGTGAGTATGAACATGAGGTTGCTCGTCACGCTCATCCCCCAGCTCTTTTACATGAGGGTGCCGGTGTGCAGGGAGGCAGTGGGCGTTCCTGTTGCCTTCGGTTGCCCCCAGAGCCTTTTGCACATGTGGGCAGACGATGGCCACGAGTTACATCGCCTGCCCTGGCTGTCACCTGGGACCGTGAGGAGAGGTGAGGGGGAGCCCCTTCCACCATCCCCTGTGCACAGACACATGCAAACTGGGGGCTCACACCAAGAGGTACACAAGGTACCTACAGAGTACCCTGCCGGCTGGCCCTCCTCCCTCCCTGGTACAGCCAGCAGTCTGGACTCCGGCCAGGTCCTCTTTCGCTGCTTTTCATCTCTCTTCTTGGTCTCTCTCTATCCTCCCTGGCGCACGCCAACCCCATGCTCCAAACAGGCAGTGGTGTGCACGGGGGCTCTGGCTAGCCCAGAAGACCCTGAAGAACGCCAGGGTGCCCAGGCTCCCCCTGGGGCCGCAGGGGGAGGTCCCTGTCCCAGCCCCCCGGAGCACAAGGAGCCAGCTGAGATCCCCGTGCAGCAAGCTGTAAGCGTTTGAGCCACCCCAGGGGATGCATGGGACCACGCACCCCAGCCTGTCCTGCTCCTACCCACACGCCTGTCCCTGGGCAGAGGCCATGTCCTTCTGTGTGCTTGCGTCCCTCTCTCTCCTGAGGTGCCCCTCTCCCCTAGCCACCCTCACGGTGCATGGGGCTGACAGCTGAGGCTTCGGACTTGTGACACTGGTGAGTCAGGTGGTGTGGGGCTGTGCCATGGGGCAGCATGCCTGCCTTGGGCATTGCCTTCACCATGCGCTCTCTCCTCTCTTCTCCTCTCCATCCTGGCCCCTTCTTTTGCGCAGATAAAGCGCTTCCTGAAGGAAGACTCGGACGAGGCAGAGCTGGCCCAGTTCCTGAAGGACTACCCTGGGGGAGAAAACCTTCGGAAAGTGGAGCCCGAGGAGAGCAGGCGGGACCCGGGTCCCGGTCACCCCTTCTCCAGTGTAGGCAGGGCGCCTGCTGATGACCCCGTGAACGAGAAAGATGCCAGGCCCTTCTCTCGGCCTCGGCCCTTGGATTTTCAGCAGCACATCACAGCACCCACGCCGCCGAGCCCTTCTCGGCCACGGAGCCCCTGGGGCCAGCTGGACCCCTATGACTCCTCTGAGGTAGGAGCATCTCTGAGCTGAGGAGGGAGGCAGTGAGGATGCACTGAAGGAGTTGGTGTGGAGGATGCTCCCTCCTGGAGACGGGAGCTGCACCCCCAAAACCAAGGGCATGGGGTCTCTGCCAGGCATGGCCTTATCCTGCAGTGCTCAGACCCGATGCCGCAAGGAGCTGGCAGTCCTGCAGAGCTTCGCACAGTGTCACAGCTGGGAGCGCTGCCTGGGGGCATGGTGTCTGCTCGGCCACCACCTGCTCAGGCAGCCCTTGCCCCAGCTGAGAGGCTCTGTGGGGCTGGAGCCTGCTCGGCAGTGTGGCTGGAGAGGGAGGTGGGAATTGTGAGCCTTTTGGCCAGCCCATGAGTGGAACAGCCCTGAGCTGGTCTTCCAGCATGGGGAGAGCAGGGGATGGGATGGGGGAGCATCCCCCATCCCACGTCCCCTCTCTGCCTCTCCCTACAGGATGACAAGGAGTATGTGGGATTTGCGACGCTTCCCAACCAGGTCCATCGGAAATCGGTGAAGAAGGGCTTCGACTTCACACTCATGGTGGCAGGTACATGCGGCCAAGCCTGGCATGGCAACTGGATGGGGGGACGGGATCCTGGACACTGTTTGGGGTGCAGATCCCAAAAGCTGAGGCCTGAAGCTCTTTCCTGCCCACTTTAGCACTCTGCTGTCATGGAGTGGATGTGCTGTTGTGTCCTCTGATCCTGGGCACAGCCGTGCACAGAGTTTCACTAATATTTCTGGGCTGGTGGAGCCTTGGCCCATCTGGGATCCCATTCTGTGACCCTGAGGCCTGGCTGACCCAATCCCTCCAGCCCTGCTTGATTTCCTCCTGGTCTCCCCTAATTGCTCTTCCCCTTCATCCTAGGGGAGTCCGGGTTGGGGAAATCCACCCTCGTGAACAGCCTCTTCCTCACTGACATGTATAAAGATCGCAAACTCCTTAACGCTGAAGGTAAGAGAGATGAGAGATCTCAGCGAGGCACTTTTGGGGCATGCAAAGAGGGCACAACCTGGGCCACCCCACTGCTGGGGCAAGAGGCTGCCTGGCTGGACCAAGCGACTGGCACCATGCAGCAGAGCCTAGGTGTGCAGGTGCCGGCCAGTGCCTGTGCATGGCCTCCTTCCACGCACCCCTCCGTGCTGAAGCACCAGAGACACAGGCTGCTTCCCTCCTGGCAACCCAGACTGCTGCCTCAGTATTACTGATGGGCCAGCTGAAACCCATGTCTTTGTCCAGGCTCTCTCGGGACCGTGCCAGCAGCTGGGGCCATCGTCAGTGAGCTATGGGCTTGTTCCTGTGCTGGCCAGCCGGCTTTCTGGGCCTCTGGCAGGTGGTACAGCTCCCACTTGCATATTCACAGCCCGAGGCAGGGTGCCTCTTTAATGCTCTGATTATCACGGTGGGGATCTTGCCGGGTTTTGAAGTTGTTCGTCTCCGTTCGCACCTCCAGCACCGTCAATCAGAGAGTTGACAGCTCTTCTCTGCACCCAGCCAGGGTTCTCCAGTTCATTACCGATGAAAAGCTGTGTTTGTCTCTTTTGGGCTTTATTAAAAGAAAAAGTATACGCGGCGTTTTGCCAGCTGCCTGTCGGCGTGAGGTAGCACTCCAAATTATTGGATAGGAGCTTGGGCCCTTCATCCTTGGCAGCGCTGAGCCCCGCGACATGAGTTCCCCCCCACGGGGCTTTGTCCCATGCCACAAAGCAGTGGGAAAACAAGCCCAAGCTTGCTGGTTTTCAGATGGACCCAAACCAAACCCTGAGATCTGAACACCCGGGAGTCTGGGGAGAGTCCAGGTCTGAACTGAGGTCTAGGCGGAGGCCACACAGCCGGTTACTCCAGCTGGAGTGGGCTTTCGTATTAAAATAGCTGAACAGGTTCGACCCCCACCTTGGGCTCGAGAAGGCTACTTAATTTGTTTCTGTTGCTAGGAGCTGCTTTAAGCTCAAAGCAGTATGTATGTTTGTGGCCATGCATACAGATGTGGGTGCACATGCAGTGTTTTGGGAGTATTCATAGGAATACAGGGACATGGGGACATGCATAGGATTCTGAGGGGAAAGGGTCATAGGGATGTGCATGCAGTCCCCAGGATATGGGGACTCACATATGGATGCATGGAGATGCAGGAGTGAAGTGAAGCAGATCACCCGCACTAGGTCCAGCTCCAGTGGATACCTGTGCTGCTTTCCCAGCTTCCTCAAACACCTCCACTCCTCACTCTGGGGTTGAGCTTGCTCCCAAAAGTCAGAGGGATAGAAAACCAGTTTTTGCAAAACCCTCTAGAGCTTGACAGCCTGTTATGCCTTGTTGTGGCCGGCCAGAGCACGGGGCTGGAGTTTCAGCAGAAGTTGCCACATTCCAACAGGTTTGGGATGGAAGGACAGAAGGGCTTTTTGCACAGCAAATCCACCTCATGTGCAGGCTTCGAGTCTCAAATTGAATCTTGCTGCTAAAATGCCAGGGGATTTTTATTTGTGGATTTGCTTTGTAGGGGGAACTAATATGACGGCAGTGCTTATGGTGTGGGGGATTTCAGCTTGGATTCTTGTTCTCCTAGTCATGTTTTCAAAATGAGGGATCCAGTGGGCTTTTCTGACTTTGAAAACTCTGGAGCTGGAGCCACATCCAGGCTGCTGCAGGCTGTGACATGGGAGACGAGTCAGGAGTCGGCAGCGAGTAAAGGGGCACTGGACACAGGGACCGGGACCTTAGAGACATCAGAAGTCTGGTGGCATCCTGCAACTCCTGATGGTTGCGGTCTCTGACCTAGAAGCTCCCTCCGCTCCCAGTGCATGGAGATGGAAAAGCAGCTGCTTCAGGCTCAGGGCAAGGCAGACATTGATCTCTGAGGTTAAGCTGGTGGTAGGGTCTAGCAGTCAGCACCAGACTGTTATTGGAGAAGCTGTGCTGTGTGATGGAGCCCTTCCCTTCCTTGCCAGGATGCTAGCGGCAGTGGGACAGCCCTGCGAGATGTGCCATGGGCTGTACTGGACAGCAAGGGTGAGGGCTCTGGGCCTCGCTATGCACAGCTAGGGCTTGTTCTCAGCAGCGGTGCGTGGCACATCCTGCTGGCGTTCAGCATCTCCACGTTAGCTGTGCTGGACGACAATGCTCCATGGGAGCTGCTCAGCTACCCTGGGCTGCTCTTCCAAGGCCCAAAACAGCCCAAGCCCCTGCAGCTCCCCTGCACAGGAGGCAAATGGGTAATGCTCAGGCTGTGGCTTCTCCTGTGGCTCTCGGGCATCTCTTCCCAGTGCATCTGGGAATACCCATTGTCGTTTGCATCGTCCTCCCACTGTGACAGCAAATCCTGCCTCGATTTGCACTGAGTACTGTGTTGGCAAACCTCCCGACTGCACCCACTGAGTGCAGAGATGAGCATCTCTTGCTTAGCCTCCCTTGCTGACCCCAGGAGGCACAGTCTGCAGCTCAAAAATGCGTCTGAATGATGCACAGGCCAGCACACAGGGCTCGGTTGGGCAGCTCCTCCACATGCCAGGCAGTCCTGGGCATGGCTACATTGCAGGAAGCTGCTGGACAGACCACGGCAGGGACAGCCAGGCTGGAAAAGTCTCCAGGGGATAAAGGGATGGGCTGAGACTGAGTGCATCCAAGCCTGGGCTCAGTCTGGCCTCCATACTGCTGCAGATGGAAACACAGCACC